AATAATATACATATTTTGGATAAGAAGAAAAAAGATTTTTTAAAGGAAAAACTATCATATATTTTATAAAAAATTCATTAAAAAAATAATAAGACTAATAAGACTAATAAAAAAAAAACAGTTCATACAATAATATACATATTTTGGATAAGAAGAAAAAAGACAAATAAAATAAAAATATAATATTATATTTAGTTATAAAATGAAATTAGAAACAACAAGATAAATAATATTTAGAACTCACCGTGTTAGCAAAAGAAATTAAGAGATGAAAAGGAGAATATAATATATTAGTGTAAAGAAAAATGATGGTTTATATATAGATGGGTAGGAAGATGAAAGGGCATAGAGAAAAACTATTTAATATTTAATTAATTCTATCTTTTATTTTTATAATAATTAAAATGCATATTTGTCTTTTAAAATTAAAATAAAAATGAAAATATTTAGTGTCCAATCAATGCATTATAAGGTAAAATGGAATTCCCCAATTATTTATTAATGTGAATTTCACCCTATGTATTTTTTTTTATTTTGAAGTAATTTATTATGCAATTTTTAAATAGTTAAATGCATATCATATTTAATGCATAAGATAGTATTTTACACATACATAGAGATAGATAAATAAATAGATTTATAAGTCATATTATTAATTGCTTATTACTTTCTTTACATTAAATTTTAAAACAATTACAACAATGGTTATAATTCATAATTTTATTGTTGAGGATAAACATGAAGCCCAACATATATAATAATTTGATTCATAATGGTGTAACTTAAGAGGAGAGAAAATGAATAGTTTATTCATTAATAATTGTATATAATAATATATATAATAAATCATATATATTATTATATTATTATATTATTATATATATGTATATATACATACCCTATTTAAAGCATAAGGTAGCATTTTATATATATATATAGACTAGATTGAATAAAATTTAGAGAAAATTAGATTAAATTAGATAAAATGTGATATATTAAAATTTTATGAAATGCTTAGTTGATCATTGGATTAAAGTAGGATTAGGCAAAACATATATATATATATATATATATATCTATATAGTCAAAATTACCCTTACAATATAATTAAATCTAATAAATTTTTATTTTATATATTTACCATTAATCATAATAACATTTAATAGTGAAATTAATTGAGATAATTATCTTCAGTCATTTTTATCAAAAACAATTATAATTATTATTAATTAATTACACATTTTTTCATAGGTTAATTAATTACACATTAACTACAACAAAATCACAATTAACTATAATCAAAATTTTCCATTGTTTTCCTACAACCCAAACAGTCAAACCACAAATCTAATAATAAAAGAAAGTTGAAGTTCAAAGGAGAGTGGACGTTGGCAACAAAATCTTTTGAATAGGTTGGCAACAAAGGAGAATTTATGTATGAGAGGGGTTTTGCTAGAGGAGGATGTTGGCTGTGGGTTATGTAACGAGGGAGTGGAGCAGTTTCATCATATCTTTTGTCAAACGCAGGGCCTCTTT